TATATGTATATAGATGTGTATGTAAAAATCTCCTCCTAAGCATCCACAGGCATTAGGATGAATTTTGGACATCCATGGTACCCAGATGATAATCCTGATGACATGGACCCTCTGACTTCTTACACGCACCAGGTGATGAATCTTGTTTGTGGTGACCCGCTGACTTTTATTAGTGCCTCCAACATTTCGATGTCTACTTGTCTGTGACAAAAGCACAGACTACTGGGTAACACTATATATTTGTGTGTATATGAAATATACTGAAAATTACTCTGTGACAGTCTAAGGTTGTTCAGTTTCACCAACAGAGTGTCATGTCTACACCCGCCTCTGATGGACCACACTGTTTGTAGGTTGTTAATGTAATAATAACATTATTCACAAGTCCCTGCTCTGATTGGCTGGCAGCAGATCTGCCCCCCACTCCTTCCTTAGATAGACACAATAGCTACTTAGCCAGAGAAAAGATGCTTGTCTGCATACAAACACACTTGGTCAAGAATTATTTACATACTAAATACCACTGTGGAATGGGACATTTGTAGTAGCATATTGAAATGGTGAAACACTAGTTTCAGCACAAAAATAAACACAAATGATAACATCAAAGTCAGCAACTGCCCTGTGGCCCAGACCCCAGGGGCCCCAGAAGCACAACAGGTTCACTGACAACTGTTTTTGTTTAATTTTTTTCTTTGGTGTCTTTGATTACAGGAAACATAATGACAGCAAATATTTTATGATTAACATTACTTTAAAGTCATATACATATAAATGGAAGAGTAGACCTCTTATTTAATGATAGTCCTAATAAACTGCTTTTAACTTTTGTTCTAAATCTTTTTAAATGTTCATTAATGCATTTTTCTTACACTCACTTTGCATGCACTCACTTCATTTGATATCATATTATTTTTTGAGGGCTTTAATATATATTAACAAAGTGACACATTATTAGATCTGGGGTTCTTGTTGTATTATTTAGGCCTATTCTTATTTTTTAAAAATACATTTACAGCCTGTTTAGATCTGCAGCTGTTCATTAAACACCTGGGGCTGAAGCCTCGGATGCCCAGGTCTAACAATGCCACTGCTGGGATCCTTTTTCATTTATTGTTCAGTGATTAAATGTAAGCAGCCAGGATATACCACAAGGCATTGTTCTATTCCCATGCTGTAGCCTTTTCCCTGTTCAGAAAAAGGCAATAGTTTAATCTGTATTCTATAAGCTATAATTACTGTGACACTACTCATTCTGTCAGATGTTTATGTGTATAGCCACATTTCAGTCATTCTGATTTGGAAATAATTGATAACCCATACTCCCTCTGTCAAATGACATCTTAACTAATATGTTAACATAAATATTCACTTAGCATGAGCAGCTGTGTGACACTGTAGTCAACATTGTTTGAGGAGCAACAGGCACTGTCTTTAATTTAAAAGCACATGATAACAAAATATGTCTTTAACAGTTATTCTCCTAGTATTGTGTTTTTTTTTACAAAGGCATCACCTCATCAAACCTTAAGTAAGCTTTCAGAGTTTTGAATAAACCTGTAATTCTTAAACTTGTTCAGCTTTAACGTTGGCCCCCCAGAAAAGCTCTCAGCCTAGTTTTCACATTTTATATCATTTACAATCAGTTTTGAAGAGTGAATTTAAACAAGAAAGGGACATACACAAACTGTTGCCACAGACCTGGAAGAACACTATTGTCAGGACTTTCATTGTATGGTGGAGCATTGATATTTCCCTGCCTTTGAACTAACAGGCATGGCAGGGTTAAGGAGAGACAATTTCACACATCAAAGTGTGTTCACAGGTGTTGGGATCACTGCCGCACACATGGAAAAAAGTTGTGCGAAGCCTTTGTTGCTGCAGAAGGAGCTGTGTGAAGTCTTACAAACTGCCTGGAGTGAATTCACTTGTATTTAGCTGATAATACTCCTAATATTATTCAAAAAAACTTAGAATGCAGAATTTCCCTAGTCACCTGAAGAAATTAGAAAGTTTACAAAAGAAAATTATACTAGCCATAACCTGGTCTGGTTATAACACTCCCACACGTTCCCTCTTCCACAACTATAATCTCCTGAGGCTTGCTGAGTTCAATGTTCATCAAAATGCTTCTACAATGTACCAAGTTGTCCATAACTTGAATCCAAGACTCTCCAAGCTCATCCCAGTCAGCCGCCCCATGCATATTTATAATACCAGAAATACACATCTTATACATGGTAAAAAAAAACACGACTGAAATGCACTAGTCTAAGCATAACAACCAGGGGGCCGCAGATCTGGAATGGGCTTGATGAGAAGTCTGAAAACATCTAAATCCATCTCTGTTTTTAAGAAGAAACTGAAACAAAAAATACTTAATTCATATGTATAGTATCCTTCACTGATCTGGGAATGAATGTATGTTGATTTGTCCTGTGTGTTTTATGTTTTGTGTCTGCAATATGGTTTGTGTTTGTAACATGTCTTGTACCATGTTACTGCTATACATCTTGACTCATCTTCCTGATCAGGCTCCCGCCATAAGCTTTAAATAGCTTCATGGGAGACCTGGCACTCCGCACAATTGTGTCTTGTACTTGTGTAACTGTTGACACATGCTGATTCTGTGTGGTGTGCGAATAAAATCTGAAATCTGAAACTTTTACTTGTAAGAGAATGTTTTTATATTGTGGCATTACTTGTTAAGTAATGGTGTGTAGTGGTTAGCATTGTTGCCTTGAACCCTGGGCTGCGGAAGCCCTTCTGTGTGGAGTTTGCATGTTGTCCTCATGTCAGTGTGGAGACATGGGTTGGAGTTTTAGGTTCTCCAGTTTCCTCCCACAGTCCAAAGACATGCAGGATAATTGGTGACTCTAAATTGGCCGTAGGTGTGAATGTGAGTGTTAATGGTTGTCTGTCTCTATGTGTCAGCCCTGTGATAGTCTGGTGACCTGTCCAGGGTGAACCCTGCCTCTCACCTAATTTCAGCTGGGATAGGCCTTACCATTAAGAGGGAACTCATTAAGCAGCTCCTCTGGCAGCAGTATAGCATCTCCCCCTCTCTCTCTCTGTCTTGCTTAGTTTTTACTGAATATTTGAAGGCAAACTGTTCGGTTGACATGTAAAACTGTATCACTTGTTTTGTTGCAATTCTCTGTTCTTAAAATAATAATCATTTATTTATTTTACTAATTTGTCATATCGTCAAGAATATCGTAATTGCAAAAATACCCGTAAATAGGGCCATATCACCCACCCCTAATTCAAAAAGGGTTTTTATCAAGGTTAGGATACTGACAATGCTGATCTGACCATATCTGCAACACCTTTTCTGAGACATGTTTAAGTGCTAAAAAAGTGTTAATCCATCCCATCCAAAAGTAATTTCTTACAGTAAAGAACACCATGTTGCTGTACTGTTAGACCCCACAGCGTGATAGCTAACTCCCTGAGACTAGTCACAGCCAACACATGTGAAGCCATACAGGAAGTTTACAGACAGACACACACACACACACACACACACACACACACACACACACACGTATCGGCAAGCCTGTTAGTGCAGTTTCACCCCCTCCCCTTCTTGTCCCCATCTCTTCCCTTCTTCACAGGAGCCCAACAACGTCACGCCTACTGTTTGGGTAATGTGATGTCTTCTCGCGACATTTTCGTTACCATGAAAAAAATAGACTCAATCGATGACATCTCGCGTGGTTTCTTCCAGTGGGAGCCCACCCTTCAATGATGCCGACTGCAGTATGTATAATAGTAGCGAGGGCTGCACCGGGAGTGTAGGAGCAACTGCGACAAGGTCGACAACGGCATCCTACTCCGAACAACAGAGAACACAGAGGTAGACAGGATTTAGTCCGGCGGCCAAGCGAGTCAAAATAACCGGGGCTATTTTGGATTTACTGCCACGGAAGAAGGAGGACGAAAGTGGCTGAACGTTCCCAGCCCGTAGCCTAATGTTCCGAGGCAGCTAACGAGCTATCCGTCACCACCAACGCTCACCGCGCGTCTGCTCTGCGCCTTCTTTGAGCAGGCAGACCAGTGTGTTCCTCCCCACATATAGGAAGACAATTGTGTGTTTGTTACGGGGTGACTCTCGGGCTTGTACACTTCCTCCACTCAGTTTGTGGGCTACAACGTGTTTCCCCCCACACTCTTTTTACGTTCATCGGTGTTTTTGTGCCATGTCAGCGCCATCCTCCACACCCTCCGCCCCGGCAGAGAGCGCCGCGACGGAATATGATTTTCTAGCCCCGGATGCTGGGCTGAGGCCGCCCGGTCCGACGCCCAGCCAGAGTCGGTTCCAGGTGGACCTTGTTGCTGAAGCAGCGGGCGCCACCGAAGATAAGTCCCCGAGTTCCGACGCCTCCACCACTGTCCCATCCAGCTACAAGGCCAGCCCCATCGCTCCTCTTGAGGGTAACGGTGCTGATCTAGGTGTCGGTGGAGAGGAAGCCAAAGGCCGGTTTCGGGTGGTGAACTTCGCGGACCCGAGCGGAGCGGGGAGCGCGGCCTCTCCGGAGGCAGCGCCAGCCGAGGGACTGCAGAACGGGGACACGGTGATGAGCGAGACCAGCTTGCATTCATCCACAGGCGGTCAGCATCATTATCACTATGACACACACACCAACACCTATTACCTGAGGACTTTTGGCCACAATACCATCGATGCCGTGCCCAACATCGATTTTTATCGGCAGACAGCAGCGCCGCTGGGGGAGAAACTCATCAGACCCACCCTGTCGGAGCTCCACGACGAGCTAGACAAGGTAAGCCCTCAACACATGGTTGTGAGCACACTGACTGAGACAGGCATGACACCGCGGTGGGTTTACTGTTTGGTAAATGGGATAAATAATCCCGTTTTAATCATTAAAACGGTTAATACGGGTTTATAACGTTAATAAGTCCTGGTAATAACGAGGACAGCGCGACATGACTGTCAGTAGACGCTCAAATCAAGTTCTCACATCCTCAGTTCCTCTTCAAATACTACAGATCCAATCATTTTACTTCATGTCATGTGTTGTGCATAATTATTGGCAGCCTGTGCACATGCACAGACAGAAAAATCATGCGCTTTGCCTTCACTGCATCTTTTAGGCCAGAGCAAGACTGCACGACTGCTTTTACTGTAGCTAGCACAAGATTTACTTCTTAAGACATAAGCTGTGGCTGACAGAGTCGAAGGTAACGTTAGTGTCTTATCAAAATGGCTTGTGGCTGGTTCCAGGTGCACAGTTGCTGCTTTTATGATGCTTTGTCATTTTGTTGACTTTATGAACAATAACCTCATAAAAGGAACATAGCCGCTGGAGCTTGTTGATTCGCTAGCGAATGGCACACTGTGGAGTGAAGACGTCATGATGTGGTTGATATTTTTTCTCTCTTGAAATGCTGCATATATTCACTCACCTTCATTTGTTGGTACATTATATGTCCAGAAGTAAATGGATGCCTGAACATATTCGCATATGTGATAGTTGAACAAGTGATTTCAACAGCATGGGCACTGATTAATGTGCTGCTAGAACAGCCTACCCTCTTGTCAAAAGGTTTTTCCACCAGAAAGGAACCTTGCTGCTCTCATTTAGCCACAAGTGCATTAGTGAGGTACATCTCTGATAAGGTAGGCTCACAGTCTGCATTCTGGCTTATCCCAAAGGTGCTCTGAGGCCATGGCTCTGTGCAGGTCAAAGCATTTTTTTATGGAGCTGGCATTGTTCATGTGGGCATTGTTATTTTTAAACTGTTGCAACAGAGTTTGAAGAACACTGTCTAAAATATCATTGTATACTGGAGCATTATGTTTTCCCTTTAGTGGAACTAGGGCAGCTAAGTCACAACAACCTCAGACCAAAAGTATAGTATATGGTACAGTATATTGGCCTGGGCATCCACAGACTTTTGGCCATTTAGCACAAGTGGCTACTTATGACTCTTCTTCCATCAAAAAGCCTCAAACAAACAAACTCATAATTTTGAAATTGCCCAAAATGAAGTGACCAAATTTGAAATGAATGCTTATATCACAAAAGCATGACTTTATACAGTTTGGCATCATTGAGCTTCAGTAATGTCCCATCATGCAAGTGATTTAACTTCTGCTTCTACTGGAGTAAGTGAAATGAAGTGGAGTGTGTTTATCTAGCCCTGAGTCGCCTGTAATTGTCAAGGTTATATGTTGATAAACTTCAAAGTGACTGCTGGCAGCAGTAGCTTGGCTAATACATCATAGCCCTGCAGAATTTGCACTGGTTACTCACTGTGGAATAGAGAACAATTCCAAAGCCTGTACTGTAAACATCTAGGCTATGAATAGCCTAGCTCAGGGTTGAATATTAGTACCAGCCATCAGCAAAATGCTGGTAAAATATATAATTGACTGCTAGATTTGCTTCAGTCACCAGCCAACAAAAAACTATGATAATCTGTTGATGTTTCTGGTAGATTTTTGACAGTATCCAATATGCCAATATATAACAAATCATTTGGCTGATAACCGATACCAATATCAATATATCCACCTTTTCCCCACCTAATTTTACTGATCATCAGGTCTCTTCGTTAGAGGAATTAATATTATATTATGCATACATACTGTTATCATGATGGCCCACCAGCAGATGGAGACATGACATACAATACTTTTAAATGTATGTAATATTCCTTCATTGTGCAAAATAAAAAAAAGCATGTTGGGCGATTTTGATTATTTTGAACGCGATATTGGCTGAAACCGATGACGTGCCAATATTATTGTGATTCCAATAAAAAAGTGCTGTTTTGGTGCAGAAACCCAAGTGTCATATTACCAGTGGTATCTCTTTCTGGTTTTTCAATCACTTGCAGCCCTCATTGTATGTGTGTATTTAATGTATGGAGAGATGGGTCATTTAAGCAATATCACACGAGAGGGAGTGATGTTATACTCGTATATCGTCACGGCTGTGATTCGGTTGTAGGCACGAGGCCGTTATGTTTTGTAGGATAATGTGCAGTGTGTATGCATTTATAATATGATTTTGTAATTGAAACCTGATCAATGATTTGGAATGGCTCTCATAACACTCACAATCATTTTTCAGATAATGTTTAACCTTATAGATTAAATTTGAGCTCAGTGTGTTTTCTGATTTTTTTCTCTCTTTTAGACTAGTCAAAGTTTCAACTTCCGTTTAAACATCAGGGAACTCAATCATTAGAAACATCCCTTGTGGTTGCAGAATGACATACATTGCAAAGGTCCTGTGCAAGTGCTGGTGTTGACTAACTTCCTGTTGGCACATCTTCATGTCACCACTAGTGAGATGATTGTAAGACATGAATAAGATAACTGATATGAAGACGGCAAAGTGGTCAAACAAATAGAAATGGTGATGTATCAGATGTCTGTTCAAAAGTTGCATATCAAAGTACCAATTGCTTCTTCCAAGGGTGACAGATGCCCCTACTGGTATTTGACCCTGTTGTGTATCCGTTTTTTTTTTTTTAAATTTTATTTATCAAAGGAAGTAATGAAATGTATGCCAGTTATTTTTCTATTCTCACCATGTCACTGGTGCAGTTTTCTGTCCATAGGTAAGCGTTTGTTGAACTTTGTTGCTTGGGAGGTAGAGCAGGTTATCCACTAATTGGACTATTGGCAATTTGATCCAAGTATCCTTGGGCAAGATGCTGAACCCCAAATTGTGTGTGAATGTTTAACTAAGTAGAAGGTGACAGTAGGGCTGCTTGATTATGGAAAAAATAATAATCACGATTATTATGATCAAAACTGAAATCACGATTATGCAAACGATTATGTGGCGCACGTGATGACTTATATTGTTTACACGACGGCATGTAATTTCTGTCTCTACATGCGCGTTTAAAATTCTCCGCACACACACACACACACACACACACACAGACCAACCTCTCTCACTCTCCCTCTGCCATTTTCACACTGTTTTTGAAATCTTCCGCGATCACCTGCCCCTCGCATTACTCGTATTTCACCTACTTGACTGGCTCGTGAAGTGAAAATAGCAGAGGAGGGGAGGGGGAGTGATTGCACATGTGAGTTTGATTTGCAACACAAGACAACGAGAGTAAACTGACAAGAAGCGCATAATTGTTTTATGTCGATTATTTTGTTTTAATAATCGTTGAAAGCCCAAATCGTAATCTAGATTTAAAATTCGATTAATCGAGCAGCCCTAGCCGACACCATGTACAGTAGCCTTGGCCACCAGTGTATGAATGTGTATGACATTCATACATACATTTGTGTAAATGGGTGGATTTGACATGTAGTGTTAATGCCCTTTGAGTGATTAGGAGACTGGAAAAGCACTATATGAATGCAAGTCAATGTATAGTGTATTAAGCTGCCCAATTACTTGACATTACTCACTGAATGGCGCTCTAATCTCTATCAGACAATATCTCAGGATTGGTTAGTCCTTGAGGTGCCACAAGTCAAATCTGAACTGGGAAAAACTGCCTTTGGCTATTGTGTGCCTAGCACCTGGAATAAGTTCCAGGAGACTGCTAAACTAAATGCCCTCGTCTCCTTGAGCATACTCAAAAATCTGTGTCATGAGCTTGATGTTGAGGTATGTGAATGTTTTAAGTACTGTTTTACTGTCTTCTTTTTGCTGATTTTTTTTATTTTTCTTTAAATTATTTTTATTTCTTTTATTGTTTGTATTATTCCACGATTGTAAAATGTATTGTATGTAACCAGAGCACCATTGGAAATGAGACCTCGGTCTCAGTGGGTTTCCCAGGATAAATAAGAGTTAAATAAATAAAGTCCATTTCCATGTACCACTGTCAGGATGTTTAAGTGATATACAAAAGCGATGACTAGCCCACTGTCCAGGGTTCGAGCCACCTTAAGAACTGTTTTATGTTAGTAAATATTATGGTTGTCAAAAAAGTAGCGGTGATTCTACTGACCTTGTTTAAAGGTTTATCAAATTAGTGAGCTAAAATATCAGGCTGTTCAAGGGAAGGCCATCATGTGGAATGCCATGTTAACATTCCAGAGTGAGATATGACTAAAAAAAATGGTCTGGCTTACAATTAAATAATTGTACTTATTACACGGCTCTATTAAATGCTGCATTCTGATTGGTCAGTCACGGCATTCTGCGGTCTGATATTACTGTGTAATGACCGCTGCTAGTAGCAACGGTCATTACACACAGTTGCTATGTAGCCCGGCGTTGCTATAGGGACGCTGCCCTGACAACAGTTACTTTTTTTATCGGGCTAAAGTAGCCGTTACCGCTTACAAAATAATAATTTACAAAATACAAAGATGGACTATTTTCATGAGATAACTTAATATTAATTATTATTAATATATTTGGTGAGCATGAAAATCTTGAGACATGGTTACTGGCTGAAGATGAGAAGAATGCTGGAGAAGAGGGATGCTCAGAGGCGCACGGGAAAGAGAGGAGACACAAGATTGTGGATGACAGGGAGGTTGATCGCATCGAAGAAGAAAGACATGAACTAAACACCAAACGACTATAATTTTAACATCCCAGCCGTCCCATTTACAATGTCTAATGTCACTTTCAATGGCAGTGTCCAATTTAATATACATTATAAATAGAAATAGCCTAAGTTGTCACTGACTTTTTGTTGAAGACATATAGCCTAATCTTTTAATGGTCAGTGACAGGAGAAATGATTATTGTGTTGTGAAAAATGGAAATGTATAAGCTAGCTATGGTTGTAAATAATAAATATTGATTCATAATCTTAGAAA